TAATAGTATTCTTAGTGACAAAACACTGAAAATAAAGATAAATGCCTATCATTTGACAAAGAGTAGAATATGGAGGGAATTATAAGGCATTCACACCAAGGAATATTATGCAGCCATTAAAAAAACACTTTAAGGTTACATACCAGATTTCCATGTAGAATTGCTGAGAGAAAAAAGCAAATTGCAGAAAAGTGTGTAAAACAATCATGTTTTTGTAAAAAAAAAAAAAAAAAGTGACTCTAAAACCAATATATAGGAATACTTCATTATATTGTACTTCACAGCTACTGCATTTTTTTTACAAATTGAAGGTTTGTAGAACCCTGCATCAAACAAGCCTGTTGGCACCACTTTTCCAACAGCATTTGCTCACTCCATGTCTTTGTGTCATATTTTGGTAATTCTCACAATCTTTCAAATGTTTTCATTATTATTATATTTGTTGTAGTGATCTGTGCTCAGTGATCTTTGATGTTACTATTGTAATTGTTTTGGGGCACCATGAACCATACCCACGTAAGATGGTGGACTGATTAACAAATATGTGTTCTGACTGCTCCACTGACCAGCTTTTCCCTAATCTCTCTCCCTCTTCTCAAGCCTCCCTATATCCTGAGACACAACAATATTGAAATTAGGCCAATTAATAACCCTACAGTGGCCTCTAAGTGTGTAAGTGAAAGGAAGAGTTCCACATCTCTCACTTTAAGTCAAAAGCTAGAAAGAATTAAGCTTAGCGAGGATGATGCCTTGAAAGCTATGATAGGCCAAAAGCTAGACCTCTTTTGCCAACCAGTTAACCAAGGTGTAAATGCAAAGGAAAAGTTCTTGAAGGAAATTAAAAGTGCTACTCCAATGAACACATGAATGATGAGAAAGCAAAACAGCCTTATTGCTATTATATAGGAAGTTTTAGTAGCAATTTCACTCATATGTGGAATTTAAGAAACAAAACAGATGAGCATAGGGGAAAAAAGAGAGAGAGAGAGGCAAACCAAGAAACAGACTCGTAACTGTAGAGAACAAACTGATAGTTACCAGAGGGGAGGTGGGTGGGAAGATGGGTGAAATAGGTGGTGGGGATTAAGGAGGGCACTTGTTGTGATGAGCACCGGGTGTTATATGGAAGTGTTGAATCACTATATTGTACACCTGAAACAAATACTACACTGTATGGTAACTAACTGGAATTTAAATTAAAAACTTAAAAAAAAAAGGTCAAACCAGCCACAATATTCTCTTAAGACAAAACCTAATCCTGAGCAAGGCTCTAAGTCTCTTCAGTTTTATGAAGGCCAAGAGAAGTGAGGAAGCTGAAGAAGAAAAGTTGGAAGCTAGTAAAGATTGGTTCATGAGGCTTAAGTAAAGAAGCTGTATCTATAACATCAAAGTGCAAGGTGAAGCAGCAAGTGCTGATATAGAAGCTGCAGCAAGTTAATCCGGAAGATCTAGCTCAGATAAGTAATAAAGGTGCCTACATTAAACAATAGATTTTCAGTGTAGACAAAACAGCCTTCTATTGGAAAAAGATGCCTTCTAGGACTTTCATAGCTAGAGAGGAGACGTCAATGCCTGGCTTCAAAGCTTCAAAGAACAGGCTCACTCTCCTATTAGGGGCTAATGTAGCGAGTGACTTTAAATTGAAGCCAGTGTTCATTTACCATTTCCTAAATCCTAGGACACCTAGGAATTATGCTAAATCTACCCTGCCTGTGCTCCATAAATGGAACAACAAAGCCTGGATGACAGCACATCTGTTTACAGCATGGTTTACTGAATATTTTAAGCCCACTGATGAGACCTACTGCTCAGAAAAAAAAGATTCCTTTCAAAATATGACTGCCTATTGACAATGCATCTATTCCCCCACGAGCTCTGATGGAAATGTTCAATGAGGTTAATGTTTTCATGCCTGCTAACACATCCATGCTGCAGCCTATGGATCAAGGAGTCATTCGAATTTCAAGTCTTATTTAAGAAGTACATTTTGTAAGGCTGTAGCTGCCATAGGTAATGATTCCTCTGATGATTCAGACAAAGTAAGTTGAAAACCTTCTGGAAAGGATTCACCATTTTGATGCCATGAAGAACTTGTATGATTCATGGGAAGAGGTCAGAATATCAACATTAAAAGAAATTTGGGAGAAGTTGATTCTAACCCTCAGGGATGACTTTGAGGAGTTCAAGACTTCAGTGGAGGAAGTTAACTGCAGATGTGGACATAGCAAGAGAACTAGAACTAGAAGTGGAGCCTGAAGATGTGACTGAATTACTGCAATCCCTTGGTAGAACTTCAACAGATGAGTACTTGCTTCTTATGGATGAGCAAAGAGTGGTTTTGTGAGATGGAATCTACTGTTGAAGATACTGTAAAGACTGTTCAAATGACAACAAAGGGTATAGACTATTACACAAACTTAGTTGACAAAGAAGTGGCAAGGTTTGAGAGGATTGACCCCAATTTTGAAAGAAGTTCTGCTGTGGGTAAATGCTATCAAACAGCATCTCATGTTAAGAGGAATCTTTCATGAAAGGAAGAGTCTGTGGATGTGGCAAGCTTCATTTTTGTCTTATTTTAAGAAATTGCCATAGCTACCTCCACTTTCAGCAAGCACTACCCTGATCAGTTAGCAGTCATCAACATCAAGGCAAGACTCTCCACCAGTGAAAAGATTACAACTCACTGAAAACTCAAATGATGGTAGTATTTTTTAGCAATAAAGTATTTTTTAATTATGTACATTTTTTAGACACAGTGCACACTTAACAGGCTACAATATAGTATAAACATAACTTTTACATGCACTTCTAATGTTTAGGGAAACCGGAGCATTTATTTGACTCACTTTATTGCAATATTAGCTTTATTGTAGTCTGGAACCAAATTTGCAGTATCTTTGATGTGTGCCCATATGTAAGTGTATATTTGAAAAATATGGAAGAATATGTTTTACACTGTAACCTTGGATTAGCAGCAGGAGCCAAATAAAATAATTTATGTAAAATAAGAATTACTTTTATACATTTCTGTATAATTGTATATGTGTAAATAAACTTTAAAGAGAAAAGATAGACTTTTAAATTCATTTAAAAGTCCTAAGCGGTTTTGAAATCAATTCAAAGATTAAGGTTTTTGCTTTTTTAAATTCTTTGAGATGTTTGCATTGAAGTAGCTCTCACTAGCCATAATGCAAATATACCACCTTATACATTTAGACTCCTATATGTAAAGACAAGAAAAATGTATCAAAACTCAAAACTTTAAAGTTTTTCATTTTTAAAAAATTTATAGGTAGGATATCTAACTTACTGAGATTAATTTTACAGATTTTCTCCAATCAAAGGAAAAACTTATGAGTAATGTGAAAACAGACATTGACATATGGGAGTTACGATTTTAATACAGGTTCTGCTAGTTTTTTTTTTTTAATTTTGGAAAACCTGTATTAAAAGCCACTGACAGTGAAGTAATTTGTGAAATAGTAGCTGATTTCCTTAGTCATCAACGGGTTGACCAAATTTGCAATCTCTCTCTCGGTACCTATCAATATCTAATAACAACTTTATTTATATATTTTGTGACTTTCAAACTATATGTGTGTTTGTACTGTTTTTAATTACTGGTAGAGTATTTGTTGTTCACACCATAGGTTGGTTGTGTTTACCATATAGATGTAACTTTATTTTATCAAATTTAAATATTATTCTTTTTGTCAAATAGTATACATTGAAGGCTACCTTATGAGATAATGAGCTGATGAATAAATTCAGGGATGTCCCTAGAATCTATTCTTGCCTTTGTGTGAGAATAACCAGTTAAGAAGATTGTGGAACAACAAGATTATGGAATTTTGTGTGATTACAACTATGCTACTATAGTTCTTGTAGGAGAACTCATTTTAGTTTGATTTCTAATTAAAAATTAGGTGTATCTAAACATATTTCAGGCCTTAGTGAAATTCCTTCCCTGTAAAAAGTAACCAATAAACCTTTCTGTTCTGTTAGTTTCTGTAGTCCCTTATAAATATTATTTTAATTGTAAATTAATCTGTACACTTCTTATAGAGATTATAGCATACATTAAATTAGGATTGTATGGAAAAAATTTGCCTCAGTTTTAGGCTATCTTATAGAAAAAAATGTATTAAACTAAATTAGAAACTTAATTTTTGTTGAAAAAGATTTGACATTCATTACCATTAAATAACCTATGCTCCAGGTGTGTTTTAAATGTTTTGGCTATAAAAATTAATTTGACTTGAAATTTTTAGGAACACCTTTTGTAAAAAAAAAAAAAAAAAAAAACAAAGCGTGTATACATCTAAAACAGATGCTAACCTTTATTGAAATTTACAGTGTATGAAATGCAGTAAAACCTAACTATATGTTTTATCTTTTCTGTGATGCAGTTGTGCAAGTTACTTTAGGTCCACAGGCAATATTTCCTTGACAGTGTTAGCCTCTTATGAGAACTGGAACACTAATAATCACAACATAGAATTTAGTAGTTATCATGTTATGTGCATGATTAATGTGTTCATGACAATATATTACACTGAAATGCACTTCATTGAATATAGTCCAGATATTTCTCAACCTTCTGGTTTTTTAAAGGTAATTTACACTTAAAAACCTGGGCTTGAACTGCATAGATCCACTTATACATGGATTTTTTTTGAATAGATACAGAATAGGGCTATAAATGTATTTTCTCTTACGATTTTAACACTTTTTTCTCTAGCTTATAAGAATACAGCATATAATACATATAACGTACAATCAACTGTTTGTTATTGATAAGTCTTCTCGTCATTAGTAAGCTATTAGTAGTTAAGTTTTAGGGGAGTCAGAAGTTAAACATGGATTTTTGAGTGCACGGGGGGGGGTTGATGCCCCGAACACCCATATTGTTCAGGGGCCAACTGTATTTAGATAATTTCAGAATAGTTTTCAGATCTAACACTGAAATATTTCCTCTAATTACTCTTTACTCCTTTCAGAGGAAATGGATGTAGAAGCTCGACTTACTGAACTATGTGAAGAAGTTAAGGTACTTGGATTTTTTTTTAATTAACATTATCAAGTTATTTGAGTGGATTTCTGTTTCCTATTCTAAATATTTTATCTAAGAAAACTTAATAATGATTTATCCTTCCTCAAATGGTTGATCATGGTAGAATCACAACTTAGTTGATTCAAGACTTTTGGCTTCAGCATAAAGTTAACTTATCTTTAAAATTTACATTATTCTGCATATAAATGAAATAGCAAAGACGATTAACTGTCAAAAGTGTGCACTTTCTTCAGTTAGTTTACTCAAAAGAATTTCTAGACAAATTTTTAAAGCATCCTTAAACTTACATATTTTTGTAAAATGATAGTTTAGAAATAAAAATTGTTTGATTTTAGCAGATCAGTTTGTGTCTCAGACCATTTTTCCACTAGTTTATTCTTGAAATTAAATTGATTTTTCTTATCCCCTCCCTTTTTTTTTGGACATGGAACTAAATGTTCTATTTTAAATGTTTTATTTTAAGATGACTATGTATTTCACTCTGAGTTATATTAATGGAAGAAATCAGAAACTTGAATCAAACAAAAACACATATTTGGCTTTGGAATGTATTTCTGTATGTAAATTTGAATGAGGACTAGACCCCTTTGAAAAAGGTATCTACTTCTCCTTATAAAATTATACATATGCAGGATACAAGTAATTTTGTATACTCTCCTAGAGGCTTTCCCCACAGCTCAAATAAGAAGTATTTTCTTTAAGAATCATTAATGTTGTTATAATAGTTGCCCCAAAGAACTTTAAACATTTAGAAGTAATCTTGATGTGTGCAATTAATGTGAAAAAAATTTGCACTATTTCACTGAGATATTTGAATAAATAAACATACTTTTGAATGGAAAGAGAAATAATCATGGGAAGTTACCGGTTTTTAAGTTAATAATTGATGCATCCATATCAAAATACCGTTGGAAATGTTAAAATTTGATTTATTTTAAAGCTTACTTGAAGAAAGGTAATAATGACTTAGAAAAACTCTTTAAAAATATGTATTATTGTAGAGGGAATTATCCACATATGATACATATATATTATACATATGTGTGTGTATGTATTCTAAACTGTTAACAAAATACAGAAAAGAGTTGCATGAAGGATGGGATTATAAAGGAAAATTTTTATTCTTTGCTCTATATCCATCTGTACTAAATTTTAAAAATACTACGTGTATTCATGTATTACTAATAAATTTTTTAGGTACACATATTTAAATTTCAGTATATAAATGGACATCATAAAGTTTAACATCAACAACCCAGGGTAAATTTTGGCAGCAGATAGAATAGACAAAAGATACAATTATATTTGAAGAGTTCTTACAAATCAATGGGAAAACCTGGTACTTCCCATTTTTCAAGTTTGTATAGGATACCCATTTACAAAATAGGCTAACAAATGAAACAAATTCAGTTTCACTATCAAATAAACAAAATTTTAAATATTCTCATACCTTTTTTAACCTATCAGATCAGCTGTGATTTTTTAATAATGTAATGCTGTTGAGCTGTGGTAAGATACAGATTCTTGTATCTCTCTCATAGATCTCTCACCTTGGAGATCTTTTTCAGAGATTAATTTGGCAGTATATATATCCAGAGACAGAGTATTACTTCTCAACCAGTACTAAACAAACAATGAGACTCATATACATTATAATTAATAATATAAGAATATTAACCTAAGTAAATACCCAATGATAGGAGAGTGGTTAAATGAAGTATGGGACACTTACAATCTAAAAAAGTTATATAACCTTAAAAATGTGCTTTCAGTAAGTGATGATGGAGAGAAATCCTCATTCAACGAAAATGGCATAATAGTTTATATGATTCTAGTGTTTATGTGTATAACTGAAAAATGGAAGACTCTACACTAAAATGAATGTAATTTTTTTCTTTTCTTTATCTATTTTTCAAGTCTTTTTAAGTAAGCAATATTTTGTAATCAAACAAGATCAGTGACTTCTATGAAAAAGTGCATGTCCATATAAGACAAGATAATGAATGTTATTTGAGGAAATACTATACAAATGTAAGATCTTACTAGTCTTGCGTTTATACATATAAAACAGATTGTCAAACTTAATCCTAATTTCCTTTTTGACATTAAAGTATTTTATTATTTATATTTTGAGACATTGTAAAGATTTATGTAAACTACAGGAGTAATTTATTTATGTTTGAAAAGATGCTTTAGTAATAATGAAAATACTAAAGTCCTCAGAACCTTGGTGCCATGATTTCTGAAAAGTAAAATTAATAATTGCAAGGTATCTAGACAGCCTTGCTCTCAGGGGATTAAAAAAAAAAGAGTTGTTTACATTATTCAACCTATGGTAAGACCAAGAGAATTATTTCTACTTGTGTGTAGATTATACTAAGAATAGCATTGCTTACCTTACACAACACTGTCTAGTTACTGTCAAATGCTTATTCAAGTCTTCTTTTTCTAAACTCCGTTAAAACTATTCTTGGAACAAGACTGCGTGTTTCCATTTATTTTAGAGAATACTTTAATCTTCTGTATATTCTTAAGAAAGACATGAAAAATTTGTTAGCTTCATTTCTAATACATTTATAAACTATTTTCTGGGGCAAAATACATCTGTAGATTTATTGTACATTGATGAATCAATATTTATTATATGTTGATTCTATTAGCTTCCATTCCAGAATTCTGGAATTTTTCAACATTTTCGGAGTTTGTCCAGAAATTTGGGGCACTTTTTCCTTAACTGAAGCCTATAATTCCTTATTCATTCATTCACTTATTCATTCAGTAAATACTGAGTGACTGCTGTGTACTGGTAATCAAAGTCACGAAAGTGAACAAAGCACCATCCCTTCCCTTCTTAATAATTTTGCTGAATTTTTGTTTTATGTCCTCTCTGAGTTAGCATAGATAAATGGAAGCTCGGTTTGCAGGGGGAAGGAGAAAAGCCTGCCGAATTGCTGACTTCAAAATGAAGTAAAAATAAACTGAGTGAGGATATATCATATGTAATAAGCAATGTTTTGAGATTTTTTTTTTTAAGAAAGGGAGGGTAGAGATATAATTAGTACTTTTTAGGAGATACTGAACTTGAATATCTTTCGTTTTACATCCAAATATAGTCATCTGGTAGGTAATGAGTCTAGAGCTCTGGAGAGATGTGATACAGATATAAAGATTTAGCAGTCATTACTATATAGATGGTATGGGAGTGGCTTTCAACCTTAACCTGAATAGACTACTTCTACCTTCTTTAGGTTGGGGAAATGAAATCAGCATCTATCTATATATTTAAGATAGATTTCCTAGTATGACTAGCAATTGAAGACATATATTTCCAGCAAGATATTATCTGCCTGAACACTGCTGCCTCAGTGAATCAAAGAAAAGCTTGTCCAAAAGAGAAGGAATCATTCTGATTTATGGTCTTTTATTGTTCTTTGTCCAAAAATCCTTATTTTACCTATTCAAGAAATCCAAATGCCTTATAGAAGATTCTGCATTTTATTGTATAATTCATTACTTTTAACTTGTATCATCAGTTTAGGTGAATATTTAAATAAACAGGATAATTTAATACCACTATTAGATCACTCATAATAGTATATTAAAATTGTTTACCCACTTCTCTGAGCTTCTCATATTAATCTTTGAGTTAGATTGGAATGTGGGCCCTAGCATTTAAAATGTGCTCAATAAACAGTGGGTAAATGAATTGTTACAAAAGAGAAAGAAGTGTTTGATGACTCTCTAAGAGGATTACCACAAGTAATATGGCACCTAGGAACATAGGAGTGAAGGAAAAGCAGTTAGTACTTTAGAAGGTACCTCTGTCCCTTCTGAAGAGTTACAGATCTTTTAAGTACTTTACTTAGCAGATTGGAGAAAAAAATCTTATTTCAAGATTTCATTATCTTCCAAAAATTTTATAACTTTTAGAACTTTAATCATGATTTGTACATTGTGTTTAAAATTCCCAGAATTTTAGTGTTTGAAGTTGATCATGCTCTGTAGAATCCTGATTTGTAATTTTAAGCTATATTTGACACTATTTCAGTAACAAGATATCTCAGATATTAAAATAGCAATTAAGTTGTTGCTATAGTAACTATCACGTAGGAAAAAGCCATTGGTCACTTGGTCTCTACACATACAAGAACGTGCACACACACACACACACTTCTTGTTAAAACCAAAAATTTGCTTTTGTATTAATGTTCTCAATAACACATTAAATTTAGACATGGTAAGTCTCAGGAAGCAGTGAAGTTCTTTTCTTGTCATTTCAGAAAACAGAAAATCCTGATGAACTGGCAGAACTTATAAATATGAATCTCGCACAACTTTGTTCACTTCTAATGGCTTTATGGGGACAGTTTCTGGAAGTTATAACACTACATGAAGAGCTAAGACTTTTATTAGCGCAAGAGCACCATACTTTGAGGGTAAGTTAAGTGATGTTAGAACATTTTGATGAGTATTATTATTTATATTTAGAAATTTCTTATGAATAAAAGGCCTAATATTTATCCATATGTTGATAAATTAGAAAAGAGACATTTACTGTTGTATTATTGTTTGATTTCTTTTTTTAAATATTTATTTGAGAGAAAGAGCAGAGCGAGAGAGAGCACAAGCGGGGATGGAGGGGCAGAGGGAGAGGGACAATCAGACTCCCCGCTTAGCAGGGAGCCCAATGGGGGACTCCATCCCAGGACCCTGAGATCATGGCCTGAGCTGAAGGCAGCTGCTCAACCAACTGAACCACCCAGGCGCCCTGTTGTTTGAGCACATGATCTATCTCAGTTATAACCCCTGCCAGTAAGAAAAGTCATCTAAATGTAACTAAAATAGGAAAATATATGATACAGCCTAGCCCCTGGAACCCAAGGATAGGTATTATAGTCAGATAGCCAGGTCTCATTAGGAATAGAAGTCAGGAGTAAGAGAGCCATCTTAAACTAATCTAGAATCTTTATCTCCAACTTTTCCTCCTTTTGTCTCATTTGGGGATGTGTATTATAAACTTGGAAGGTCAGGGGGAGTAATCTAGACATACATGTTTGCTATAGGCTTACTGTGGACGTTGTGCAGAAATTTCTGTACAATTTTATTGTATAGCTTATCAAGAGGCTTTGATATATTAAACATCTGACTACTTTTCCAGTTATCTCCTTATATGTCCTATACACACACTAATTTTCCTGACCTACTAGCAGGTCCTCAAAAACACTAGGTTTTCTTTTTTCCTTTTTCTTGTTTTTCTTTTCTTAATTATAAAACATATTATGAAAGTCAGAAAAGTGCATAAAACATGCACATTTTAACAAGTAATTAAAAACACATATCCTTTTAACTCTCACCCAGATCAGGAAATAGAAAATTGTCAACACCACGGAAGACCTCTGCGTTTTTTCCAATTTCTGTTCCCACTCTGACATTGAGAAGTAATCACCATCCTGTCTTTTGTGATGAGTTCATCACTTCTCTTTTTACCATCTATTTATGCATACTAAATAACACAAGTTGTTTCAGTCTATTATGTTATTCAGCCTGTTATTGAATTCTATATAAATGAGATGATACAGTGTATATTCTTCTTATCTTGCTTCTTTCAAGATTGTGTTTGTGAGATTAATCGATCTTTTTGTCAGTAGCTATAGACTGTTCATTTTCGTTGGTGTGATGTATTTCATTTGCTTATACCCACAATTTGTGTATCCACTCTACTGTTGATGGACATTTGGATTGCTTCTAACTTGTATTTACTACAAACCAAGCTACTGTGAACATTCTTGCACATACTTCCTGGCATGCCAGTTTCTCTGAATTATTTTCTTGTAAGGGAAATTGCTATGCCATAGGATATGCATAACATCAGTTATTTACTAGCAGATGCCCCACTGTTTTCCAAAGGGGTGCCAATTTTTACTCCCACCAACACTTGATGAGAGCTCTTGTTATTCCACATACTCCCAAACTCTTGATTATGGCAAACTTTTAAAATTTTGCCAGTCTTATACCATTGTGGTTTTAATTGGCATTTCTCTGATGACCTGTGCTGTTGAGCACTATTTTATGTGACTATTGGCTGTGTAGATTTCTTATTTGTGAAGTGCCTGTTCAAATTGACCATTTTTCTATAGGATTGCATTTCTTTTTCTTCTTGATTTGGAATACTTTCTATGTATTCTAAATACTGGCCTTTGTCATATCTTTGTAAATAAATCTTCTCTTTTGTCACAGTTTGGTTTTTTTCACTGTCTTTTTGCTGTCTTTTGACAAACTAGAGGTCTTAACTTTAGTGTTAGTGTAGGTGGAAGAGAAGAAAAAGGCCAGACATAGACTTACCCGTACTTGGACGTAATATATGCAGATCATCAAGGAAAAGTTCAGACTTTAAATAAATGATGTTGGGACAATTAGGTATTCATGTGGAAAAATATTATATAAAATTCAATTCCAGGTGGCTTGAAAACAAATATGAAAGACAAAATCATAAAACTTATAAAATATAATAGAGAAGTTACAGAGGATTACTGAAGTAGTACAGAATACTTCTATATTCTCTTCACCAGAATCACAAGTTACCATTTGGCATATTTTCTTTATCATTCCTTCTTTTTATAAATAGGTATATATGTACATGGATTTTTTTTCCCCTGAGTCATTTGTTAGAGGCATCATGTTCTTCTTCTTTTTTTTTAAGATTTTATTTATTTGAGAGAGAGAGAGAGGGAACAGAGGGAAAGGGAGAAGCAGACTCCCTGTTGAGCAGAGAGCCTGACGTGGGGCTTGATACCAGGATTTTAAGATCATGACCTGAGCTGAAGGCAGATGCTTAACTGACTGAGCCACCCAGGCACCCCAGCATCATGTTCTCTTATCCATAAATACTTCAGGGTATATTGACTAAGAACAAAGATACTTTCTTACTTAACTATACTAAAGTGATCAACTTTATGAAATTTAATATTGATACAATACTGATATCTAATGTGAAACTCATTTTAAATTTTATCATTTGTCTTAATAATGTCCTTTGTGACTTTTCCCCTTTTCCAGGATCAGATTCAGGAACACACATTGCATTTAGTTGTCATGACCCTTTAAATTCTTTAGACTCATTCAATCTGGAATAGTTCCTTCTATTTTCTTTGTCTTTCATGAAGAGTATTGGTCAGTAGTTTTGTGGACCATTGTTCAGTTTGGGTTTCTGTTATATGTATTATGTTCCTTGTGGTTCAATTCAGGTGAACAATATTCTTGGAAATACTACATTTTATTTTATTTCTTTTTCAGTTTTGGTAAATTATGTTTTTAAAGAGTTCTAAATTTATTAATTTATTGGCACCAGATAATTCATAATACCTTCAATTTTTTTAACATCTGCAGTATCTGTAGTGTTTTCCTCTTTCATTCCTGATATTAGTTATTTGTATCTTCATTCTTTTTTTTTTGATTGGTCCCACCAGAAGTTTGTCATTGTATTAGTTTTTTCAAAGAACTAACTTTGATGTTAATTTTCTCTTGTGTGTTTTGCTTTTGACTTTAGTATTTCCTCTTACTTTCTAAAGGTTTATTTTGCTGTCTTTTTAAAACTTCTATAAGTAGATGTTTAGCTTATTAATTGTAGCATTTCCTCTTTTGTGTTATACACATTTAAGTTTATAAGCTTTCCCCTAAGTACTGCTTTAGCTACATTCCACAAGTTTTGATATGTTGTTTTTTTTATCCTTTGGTTCCCAATATTTTCTAATTTTTGTGAGCAATATATTCTTTGATTCAGGGTTATTTAGTGTTTTTTTCCTCAGTATAAAAATGGTTTATTAAAATAACAAATGCATCTCTTCCTTCATTTTCTGGATATAAACAGAAACAATATACAGTCAATGACAGGAGTCCATAGGAACGACTTTATACACACTACCCCCAAATGGGAAATCTCGCAGCCTACCAATAATAATTTGGGAAATCTTTGATTTAAAGCAATAAAGGTAAACAAAACTATTATGAAGTATACACTAGATATGTTGTCCTATATTAGCAGTTGTCATTTTTCCCTTGCTCAGAAATCCAAGAAATTGAGTGCCTTTCCAAAATCAGTTGTCTTCTGAAATAAGAGACCAGAGATGGTTCTTGTTCAAAAGTTATCACGTGTTGTATCAGGTAACTCTGCAATCCTGAATTAAAGGTTGGCACTTAGCCCAGAGGTAGTCATCTACAACATGGACATGAGGAAGACTAGTAATTTTTGTAGGGAGCTGATGCATAAACTCTGCTGATTTGGAGTGGTTTCTATTAGAATGACTGACTGAAGAATTCAAATTATTTCTCTTGAATAATTTAAACATGGAACACAAAGAAGAGACTCAGTTACTAAACAGTGGCAGAAACCAAGAGAGAAAGAAGGTCATAGGCAAAAGCCATGAGACAGTAGAAGCCATGAATAAGCCAACTATTATAAGGTAGGGATGAAAGTAAAAAGGGTTAAAAGTAAAGCAGAGAGTGTCAGAGAGAGAAACATGAGAATAGAGGAATAACTAGAAAAGGGAACAACAAATGCTTGTTTCTGAAACAACAGTTACTAGAGTGATATTAGGATATTAGTGTAGTTGTTATTTACTAAATGGCAATGAACAGCACTCCAATTTCGCAAGCACTGGCTGTTTGTCTACAGAGTCAGTTCCCTGGATGTCATTACTTTACTCTGTATCCTTATAAAAATCCCACACAGCCTGAGGTAATCTGACTATATCTTTGTCTCTTGCTAATAACTAAAGAGCCTTTATCAGGGTATGTTTTTTTGTTTCCAAAGATATTAATTTTCTAGTTGTCTTTTTGTGGTTGATTTCTGGTTTATCTTCATTGTGGTTAGGAAACAGTCTGTGATTTCAGTACTTTAATATTCCTTAAGACTTTCTTTACCTATATTAGGAATGTATATTTATCAGGTTGTTGGGTTAAGTGTTCTAAATATGTCTGCTAGGTGAAGTTTATAAATCATTTTGTTCAAATTTTTCATATTTTTAACGAATTTATGGCTGCTAGTGCTATCAACTATCAAGAAAAGTGTGGTAAAATCCTTCCATTATGGCTATAAGTTTGTTCTTATTTGTTGTTACCAAGTAGTAAGTGACAGAGATGGGATTCAAACCCAAGCACTATGGCTCCGTAGCCTGCATTCTTTACCACTTGATATGCTGTCTCTCAAAATAGAACAAGAGAATGATAGCAAGGATCCGAAGCAACTTTGTAGCATAATGTTTTATGTGATTGTCTGAGGTAGAATAAGAACAAGAAGGTGTAAACTTCAATAGAGAGAAGCTGATGAACACAACGTTAAAAGGGGCAAAGAAGGAAGGCCAAGACAAAAATTGGGTTTATGGAAAATTCAGATGCCAAAGAAAAATTGAAATTTTTCCTAGAGCTTCCTTTTTTATGC